ACCGCAGAATCCATTGCATGTCCTAAGGAGTTTCCTGGGTAAATCCACAGTAGGAGGAAACATAGGGACAAAATTTTGTCTTAAGGATAGTCTCGGAAACCTATTAGTTGAAGGGCCGCAGAAGGTGCAATTACTATCCCAGTTTTTTCAATCGGTCTTTACGGAGGGGTCCTCAGAAGACAATCATCAGCTTGAAATGAACCAAAACAGTCGGGAGCTCCGAATGCGCCAAGATACTGCAGTCATCAAAACCGTTGCCTTTTCCATCGAAGAAGTAAGACGCGTCCTCAGTCAAATAAAACCAGATAAGCCTCCTGGACCCGACAGAATACCTGGGCTGATACTTAAGGATCTATCAACGGAACTGTCAAAGCCGCTATCGACTATATTTGAGCTGTTAATGAGAACAGGAAGGCTGCCCTAGCCGTGGGAGACAGTTAACCTCGTTCCCTTACATAGGGGAGGTAACAGGATGACAGCCAGCAGTTTCAGACCTATAAGCTTGACTTGCCTCCCATGCAAAACGATGGAAGTTCTAGTAAGGAGGGCTATGCAACAATTTTTGTGGAGGAAATAGCATCTTGCAGGATTTTGAACATGGCCGCCGGAGAGGACGTTCCAGCCTCTCAAATCTGCTAGCTTGTCAAGAGATCTGGACCAGGGCTTTAGAAAAGAGATTTTGAGGTGGATGCCGTGTACATCGATTTCTGCAAAGCTTTCAATGCTGTTCCACACTAACGCCTTCTTCACAAATTGAGCGCCATCGGCATCCGGGGAGATCTTCTAAACTGGATTGGGGCGTTTCCGATTGGTCGGAAATAACGTGTCTGTATCGGGGATGATATGTCAGAATGGGTGAATGTGACAAGTGATGTGCCTCAAGGCTCAGCTCTGAAACCATTGCTCTTCATCCATTATGTTAATGACAGCGTTCAGTAACCCGACTGCGGCAAAATAATGTTTGCTGATTACGGTAAGATCTGGCAAGTCATTAGGAGTCCAAATCACTAGAGAGCCTGTAACTCAAAGGAAAGAGGTTCAGATTTACTAGGCGGGTTGATTAAGGAAAGGAGCTTTGACCCCTAACCATCTTCGTGGCTCTCCTCTGGACTCTTTCGAGGCAGTTTCGATTCTCAACAGCCCACGGCCTCCAAGCTTGTATGCCGTACTCTAAATGCGGCCGGACGAATGTTCTGAATGTCTTAGAGAAAGCTTCTTCTTCAAAGTCCATAAACGCACGCTTGATGGCGTACAGTACGGACATTGCGCTTTTTGTCACTCTCGAACAGTGGGCGGATGGTTTTAGGGAACTCGTCGTAAGCACACCGAGGTCCTTTTTGGCTTAGACCTCTTGTAGGGCTACACCGCCCAGAAAGTAGCCTCTTGTGCTGGCGGATCTGGCTGTGTTGCCTAGGCGAAGTATGCTACATTTGGAAACGTTTAACCGCAGTAGCCAGCGGTTTGACCACTCCTCCGACCGATTCAAGTTCATCTGCAGTCTGTCTTCGTCGGCAGGACCCCGAATTACACTCCCTATCTTCATGTCATCCGCAAACATTGCTACTTCACAGTCTAAAGCTCTTGCGGCATCGTCCACATAGATAAGGAACAAAATGGGTCCCAGTACTGGACCAGCTTCCAATCGATAGGAACTGTTCCAGTGTCAAATGACGTATGAAAGAGCATCGACAAAGGCACAGAGACCTCACGGGCAAGTTCCTTCAGAAGCTTGGATGGAATCTCGTCTGGTCCTGGCGACTTCGATTCGTTCAATGCCTCTAATTCTCTCCGAACAATGCCTTCTAAGAAAAGAATTTCAATGACGCTTGGAGTCGGCAGTTTTTCTGTGGAGGGAGGAAGGAACTCGGCCTCGTTTGTGTAGACTGATTGGAAAAACCGTGAAAAATACGCAGCTTTATCCCTACTATCAGCGATCTCAACGCCATCAGTAGTCTTTATCAAGGGGATTTGATGCCTGTTCCTTGTAGTTCGTCGGAGGTAGCTGTAGAGTAATTTTCGATTCTACGTTGCTTTTTGGAGCAAGTTCCTCTCGAATTCCCGCCGCGTCTTCATTATCAGCTTCCTCAGTTTGTTCCTCTGTGTCTTGTAGGCGTTTAAGCATTCAGCTTGTCTAGTGACGCAGTATTTTCTCCACAATTTGTGCTTCCTGTTGATTTCTTTCTTAAGGTCGATATTTAGCCACCCAGGGCGTTTGTACAGTCATACACTAGTCAGTGGGCAGTGGTTGTTGATGAGCTGCAGAAGGACATTCTTGAACAGCTCCCAGTCATCGTTGGCACTTCCCGTAAACAATGAGCCCCAGTCAAGACCGGATAAGTATATCCTCATCTGATTAAAGTCTCCCCGCCAAAAATTCCGTCTTTTGTGGTCTGGAGTATGTGAAATGGAGAACAACGAATAATCCCACATCAGCACTACATGATCACTTCGGCCAAGGGGCGGCATGGAGGTGATTTCGTCTATGCTGTCTGGTGTTTTCGTAATGACCAGATCCAGGCAGTTTGCCCTTTGTCCTTCACGTGTTCTCGTTGGGAACATTACATGTTGAGTGAGGAACGCATTTAATGTTTTGTTCAACAGGTGGTAATCGAATGCCGAATGTGGACCTGACGCTTGGAGGGTATTCCAGTTTGTTCCTAGTGCGTTGAAATCGCCCATGATCATGATGTTAGGTCGACTGGAAAATTTCTCCAACTGCTCCAATAGTTGAGTGTCGGCGATTCGGTCTGTCCTAGGTGGTCGGTAGACAGTGAGGACATCGAGACACGGGTAACCGGTAGCCTTGATGGTCAACCAGATAGCTTCCGTACTGCACGCAAACTTGGTGGTGTTATTCGACACCGCCAGACCTTCATTCACATACACAATGATACCACCACCCTGACGATGTTCCCTGTCCATCCGATAAATTTGGTATCCAGGCAAGGCTATATCGCTATCGCTTAAATTCCCGGACAGCCAAGTCTCAGTTACTGCTAAAACATCTGGAGATAGCTCGGCAAGGCAAAGTTTTAGTTCGTCTAGTTTCGATGTGAGGCTTTGGGCATTCGTGTACAAGCACCTCAGTTTTGCATCAACCGAATTTCCCGTTACATCTGTTACTGCTGTGAGCATTACTCCGTTATCGCGGACGCCGTGTTCTCTAGGCTCTTCCGTTACCTGATTGGTTTCATTTATATGCGTTGTTTCAGTCAGATCACTGGACGCTACGGAGTCACTTGCGTTGCCGCCTTGATCAGGTGGTTCAACAAGTGTCTGTTTTAGCTGAGTACCTGTCGTCCTTTCTGAAGCTCTTCCAAAAACTCTTGGATGATTATTTGTGCCCCCTGTTTTCCCTCGACAGTCAGAACCTGAGCTAAACACCCCGCGACCCGGTGCTTTTTTATCATAAACAATGCTACTCAAATGAATCAAATACTGCTTTAATGGCGAATATTTCCATCGTTCGTGTACAGTTATTTCTAACGAGCTAACATGTAATCATTAGGGGGTTTCAAAGGCTTTGTCCGCTATCCTTACCAAATAGACTGAAACAAAAATCCGGGATTTGCGTCAAAAGTATTCACACAATTTATGCAATCAAGTCGAGTTTGTTGCGTCTTACAAGACAAATGAGGTCGAAGTGACCCAGTTAGAGGAAAATAACCTAAACTTCAACCTGAGGATATCACATCGTCCAAGAACTGAGGCATGCGGACATTTCCAGGGTGGATTAACATATATTTGAGTAAACACAGTGCATTAAAATGTAAAAATTGTCATTTGGATGACCGGAATGCCCTCTAAAATCTCTTCAAAGTAGGCGTGGCCATGGCCGCGTCCAGTCACAATTAGCCATATCTGCTGGGCGGAGACAGTTGCTGCCAGGGATTCGAGTATTTCCGACAGTCGGATAAGATGCAAGCCACTTGTTGATCATTTCAAAACAGCATGCCCTATACACTAAGACGGAGACTAAAAGTTCTCGATATAGATCTTGCAACTCCTAAACGCTGTGATGTTTTTTACCAAAATCTTCGATGCAATGGAATCCAAACTGTGAAATTTCAGACTTAATCACTGGAAAGTTCTGGTTTTATTAGTTTCAAAGTTCCAGGACATCGTAGGTCAGCTTGTGAATCCACAGACGCCTTGCTATCATGTTGCCTGTCTTAGGGAAGTCCCACGAGTATGGAGGATCAAAATGAAATCTTGACCGTTTTGCAAAAACCTATTTGGAGAGAGGTTGGGGAAGAGAAGTAAGAGGATCAAAAAAAGGCAATCGAAAACCGCACATCAGGACTCAAACACAAGCTAAATGGTAGCCACAAACGGTATTGTAAAGCATGGATGAGAGATGTACGTAAAAACCCGAACAGAAAAAGCGTGACAGTTGCTGGCATGCAGCGAATGAGAACTGAGCCAACTCCTTCAGCCTTCTGCGATGCTAGCAAATTCGATTGGTCTGCGAAACCAATGGATCGACATGTGCGTAGCCCGGCGTGAATGGATACCTAAGATATGAAGGCGAAGAATGCCAGGTGGCGAAGCCCAGACTACATTTGGTTCGATGAAGCATTCAGTATTTATCTGATCGGTCATCTGCGCTTTGATCATTCTCGTGTATGGTTTTCTGGTTCCATGTTGACGTCAGGGTAGCGACTGGCTGAATAAAATTTATTAGGTCCGAAATTATGCCATAGCAGTTCATTCTCAACTCTGCCGATACTCCGTTGGAGATACACATAGACGCTTATGATGGATCTCGCCAGTAAAACCGAAGAAGAGCGTAAGGAAGGTAAGCTTGTTCATCTAAGGTTGCGCTTTATTGTTTTAGCGTATAATAAAAACCAGACAAGACTAGAAACATGGCGTTACCTATGGTAGACTGGTATTCTCTTGATGGATTGGCGGGGAGTCGGAATTCTGATCCTTGAGTATTTCTCTTGTGAGTTTACTTCCGCCTCTGATGAGCGTTTACACGTAGGCGATCCGAATTCATGATTACTCTGGAGGCCAGCGTGGCCACATACGTTGCATGTCTCTTCTCACCAAAACCTGGGAACGTTGATGTACGCACGCGCTTGATCCTTTGTCGGTTGGTCCGCAGTATTTAGCCGTTTATTAGAGGTGTTTGATGTGGTAGATAACGCTTGGCATGTCCTCAGGCGATAGTCAACCCCCTAGTCGATTGTGCAAGCGAAGTATTGTGACAACAGTCAAGCTTCTGGGACCCACGCCTAGTAACAATGCCGTTTATCATGTAGCTTTTTAAAATCCAACCAAATATTCGAAGACATGGTCGACTTCACCGTTTTTTTCCATGAAATCCAACCGCTTAGGTTCTGTATTATTCAGCCCACCCGCTTACCTACGGTTAGTCGTCGCTCTGCTGCCTTTCACAGGCCCCATTTTACACTTCTGTCCGGTCTTTGAAAGCTTAGTCTGATCTTCAACCCCCTTGAGATCCTGTTAGAAGGGAGCCAATGTGTCCAGGGATATTTGGATATCAGGACTAAAACATCCAATAATGCTATTATTCGCCTCCTTGGGCACCAGTCATCTAATGTGTCCCTGACGTTATTAACAAGGTATATAATGGACGGCCCCATTAAAGTTCAAAAAACAGCATAGGAAAGCACTTTCTGTTGTTCACGAAATCGCGCAGTTCCTCGTCCTGTTAAACTCCACAGTGTTGACGTGCGTTTGTTTTGCCAAGCCACTTCCTTCCAAGGGGCGCGAAGGGACGGGCGTTGTCGGTCTTTCATTGTTTGTCTGCTGATTTGTGGTCAGTCAGGTCCGGCTCTTTGCAGGTACACATTGGGCCGATTGCTGTGTGTATTACTTAAACCACACTATTTCCGTCGTGGTTCTGAGACAAGAACAGACGGGGTTTCGTTTTTGGTACAGAACGCTTGGTGTAGCGCAAATGCCAACTTTTGCCGCCAACTTTCCCTCACAGTTTGTCTGCTCACTTCCGCTTTTCGTATCAGACTTTAGTCCTCCACCAGCGGTTCCTTCCTAACACATTCGTTGTCATATCTTTCGTCTTCTGTCCTTTAACTCGCTTGTGTTACCTATCCCTGAAAGCATTACACTAGTAGCCGGGTGGCCATGTACCTGTAGCCCGGTTTTTGCTCGAAGTCCTTGACTGATTATCTGCTTGACTTAATTACTCGTTAACGTGGAAACCTCGGGTACGATGCGACCTCGGAAAGTTCCCTTCTCAGGCCGCGGGACTCCCTGCGGCCTGGCAATAAATTCGCCCTCGCTCGACAATCGGTGCAAAACCGATGTGTGTACGTTGCCCGCCGACAGCTGGATAAGAAGAGCGAAACAATTTAGAGGCCTGGACAAGAAGTTGTCCCATTGAGCCGACTCCAAAAGGTTTGCTCTTTCCGTGCGTGCGTACGTCATTGAGGCCTTTGGTGCCGCATGTAAGAGCGACCTGACGGGTAGGTCGTGTCTACCAGGCACCGAAAAGAGTTAACCAATAACAAAACTATCCACGGACTCACAAAACGGTGTCAGTGAGAGCTAGCAGTGTACTAGTGGAATGCCATCAGGGAACTTCGGGACGACAGATAATCTAGCTACAGGTTGCTTTCAGGGTGTCTCTTACTCCTAATCAAGCCTTTTGTACTATCGAGCCTTCCTGGATGTAATCGATCAACAATTTTTTGCTGGTTCGGAACTTGTACAGGCACGGGCGCTGCCGGGAGCGTCATAGGTAGCTCTGATGTTTTTCTGCGGCAGTCGACTGAAATACAGAATTTGCAAGCCAGCAAGTGTCTTAAGTAAAGCGTATTCACCTAGCTCAAAGTCCCAACTACGAATCATGCCGCTCTTGAAGAAAATACTACCTACCTAGCTCTCACTGGTGGTCTACTACGACGGTTTAACTAGCTTCTGGCGTTAGAAGTGTAAACAAAGTTTAGTGGGGCCAGGATCTCGATTAGCATTCCACAGTGCCGTTGTATGCTTTGTGTGTTTTCGATTAATCCTCACAACAGGTCAGACAAGGCGTCCGTTAAAGGCTTCTGCCGTCTGACTATCTACTATTCTACCTCGGCCAACTCACAACCAGTCTTCTCCGGGGTCCCAAAATAGTTTTTGGTGGACGCGTTCTTGACTAGCAGAGTATTCATAGTTCTCACTTGCGCTCTGTCGTTATGCGATATTTAGACTGTATTGACCGCCACATTAACTTCTAACTATTTCATTGATTTCTCCTGAGATCGGTGTGAGCAACTTGTTACCTTTAGTTGTTTGGATTGGGCGTGTTCTGCGCTTTCGTATTAGATGGTATTAATGCGCGTAAGTGCGCAAATTCACAAAATGGCCCCGCAGTACTTCCGCAGATGCCCATGTGCGCTCGCATGGTGAGATTAGCAGCCGTCGTATGGCATGAAGAAAACAAGCTTACGAGCCAAGATAGTTTAGAAGCCCGTAGTGTCGTTAAATAGGATTGAGTGGGCGGATTCACCCCCAAGCTCTAGACCCTTTAGTTATGCCCTGATCGGGTTGTTTTTGTCTTTTATCACTTCGTCATAGCCATCGTCGGGCTATAAGATAGTCGCCATTTTTGCGCTTCATACGAAACTGCGCATACAACTAATTTTCCAAAGCATGCACCCTCTGTAAACCACGACGCAGTGGGAACTAAACTACCAGCATGTTGATAAACAGTGCATGGGGAGAAACGTAATAGAGTTGTAATTCCTACTGTAGACGTCCCGGGTTTTCTTGTGGTTTGGTGTTCCGCTTTCACATCTTGCCAAACTTACGAGACCCCATTTATTTTCTCAGAAATGGCCTGCGTCGCACTAAAACGTTCATGCGCCTTTGAAATCTTGGGGCCCGCCTCAGCTAAGCGTCATCGATGTTCTTCCACACTTCCATGCAACTGCCAGCTGCCAACACCAAAATCAGTCTTCACCCCCGCTGCAGAACTAACCCGCTGTAAGTTGCTATGATTTATTTACTTCTCATAAAACTCAGGCAACACAAGTTTTGTATTTGGTACGGCTGCGATCATGTCTGATCCAGCCGACCTAGATTTTGTCCTGAACTGTACCTCCACGCGTGACGATCAGCGGCAACAGATCCGGACATCTCAGCTCATTCTCTTTGCCAGCGACGGAGGCCAAATACCGAAGGTCCAAGAACCACTTCAATGACTTGACGAGCTAGTCGAGCCAGGTTTTGAGTTGAACCTCTCTTCGACCTTCCCAATTGGGTAACGGTGCCGGGTTGAGGGCATTAATACCGAGCTCCCGAGGTAGACGACGAAGAACATGCCCAAGCCAGCTTAGTCGGCTTTCTTGGATAGCCTGGGTTATCCTTGTGATATTGTCGCAGCGAGCGCGGACTGTCTAATTTGAGGCGAAGTCGGTGTAATTCACTCGAAGCAGTGGTAGTCGAATACCTCCAGTTTTCGCTCGTTCTCCACGCACACAGCCCAGCACTCGTAACCGTACAGAAGGACGGACTGGACAGGTGCACGGTACACGCGAATCTTAGTGGCGATGATGTCGCATCAGACCCATAGGCATTTCCTAAGGCCTGAAAAAACCCAGCTGGTAACATCTATTCGGGAGACAATGTCGTCCTTACTCTGTCCATTCGGCAGCAACCTCGTCCCGAGGTACTTAAAACTGTCTACTTCAAGTTGACAGCTATCAATCCCGAACGGTGCCTTCTGGTTATGGATAAACTGACCGATTTAGCGACCTCGTTCACCTGTAACGCTATAGGCTGAAAATCACCAAAACTTAAAGCCAGTAAGGTGATATCATTGGCATAGTCGAGTACGTGCAGCCAGTGTCCGGGTGTAAGCTGAACACCGTCATCTTCGTGTAGGGCCCCCTAGAATCCAGTCAAAAGCGTAGTTTAACGGAATGAGCGGCAGGATACAACCCTGTCGAACGTAAGACCGAACACCGAACGGTTGGTATTGTTATGGGCCAGAACTCGTACAGTGTTCAAGCTGTAATAAGCCTTGATCATGGCGATACTATTTGGCGGTACACCATCTAGCGCCATTGTCCGCCAGGGGGACTGACGGAGCATCGAAGTCAACAAAACGGACGGTTGTCAGTTGCTGGTACCTACGGCGGAATCCAAGTATGCGCCTCAGTTTGAATACCTGGTCCGTACACCTACGTCCAGCAGGGAATCCGCGGACGCGCACAGCTTAGGATCCGCCGCGGACACTGGTGAAGGTCTTCGCAACAACGTCTATGAGACCTATGCCGCGGTAGTTCTTGCATCTTGTCTTCTCTCCCTTCTTGAGGATAGGTAAAAGGATGCCTGAGTCCCCCAGTCATCAGGAGAAACCTCGTTTCTCTACGCTTGTTCAATCACTTCATGGAGCCAGGGCGCCAGAGTGTCGACACAAGACTTGTAGATTTCAGCGGGTGTACTGTTCTCTTCGGGTGCCTTGTTGTTGCGCAGCCTATACATAGAATCAGCGATCTGCCTCAGAAGAGGGGTCGCAGGACACTGCATAGGTTGGAGAGGTGAGAAGCTCCGCTGCAGAGGAGAGCAAGGGCGTGATGGGTTGGGCGTAAAAGTTGAGATGGCGCTCACGCCATGGCTCGACTTTGGTCGATTTGTCAGCAATAAAGCCGCCTTCCACGTCGCGAACAGTCACTTAGCGCAGAAGGCTTACCGCCAACTTGGAGGATAATTCGGTAGAGTTTTCGAGTGTCACCAGCATTCGTAGCCTGTTTCATTTAGGTCGCAATTTCAGCCAAATATTTCCTTCGGTCACCCGTTTTCGACTTTGGCGTCATCTTCTGGAGTTGACGGAAGGAAGCATCATTACGGGACCTGGCCCGAGCCGTCTGAGCGGATAGCTGCAGGGTTCTTCCGCTGATCCACACACTGCGGCGTCCCTGGATACGTCCAGGGATTTTCTCAGCTGCTCATGACTGATGTTTTCAATGACAACCGCTGGTTACTGCCTTCTCCATCGTCTCGGGTCGTAAAACAGGACTGGATTTCTCTGCTTAGGACATCGGCAGTGTGGGGCTACCGGATTTTTGCGACATCAACGAGTCTAGGACGTGACATTTTGGGCGCGGATGAGAGGTGAACTTTCAAGCGTGTGCGAACGAGAACGTGGTCCGACTCGTGAGCGTCACCAGTCTCGGCACCACGCATATAACTAGCTCACGTGAGCAAATAGACCAGAAATGACCGTTCCAGCATCTGCTATTTTTCGCTACTATGCCTCAGACTAAGATGCAATCAAACTTGCCACCACATTATCAGGTGCAAAAGCCGTGGCCAGCTGGCCAGTTCATGTGTCAGACGGTCTGTGTTTGGTTTTGTCTTCCCTCGGTACCTGAATTCTAACGTGGACGTCTGAGTCGCACCCCGTTTGATTTAGTCCGACTAGTGCGATTACCGCGATGCATCTTTGTCTGGTTGGATTTCGTAGGAGCAGTCGGCCCATCCCATGTACCGGGAATGAGTTTCGAATGACCAGTTTTCCTGATCACAGTTACCCATGTCCTTAGCTTTACTTACAGGAATACTTAGCTCCGATGTGATGCGCCTCCACGTGTTCTGCGAAGGCCATGTACGGAATCATTTTACCGTGTGGCTGTTTCACTTCTTTCTGTTAAGCATGTTTAATTCAAATACTTTCTAAACAGACTATCACCCCCTACCTGCTGTTTTTTTAAAGATTAACTCAGTGGCTAACTTTTCTCTCCCGTCCTGATTATATTTTCAAGGGCCTGAAAACTGCAAAGTCCGATTGTCTTTTAAAGCCAGCGCAAGTCGGAATAACGTCTTGAGGAAAGGTTCCTTCGCCATTGATGTTGTTCAGGCTAGTTACCTTAGGTAGCAGAAAATGGAAAGAAGTCCTAAATGAATTCTGTTCGTGCGTGTCTGCCCTAGGGTCACTGTGTAGTAAAGCTTGTTGACTGGCCTGTGCGAGTGTTTTGGGGCATGCAGCAAGTAAACTGAAGTTGCGCATATTTGAAGCACTACCGATCGACTCGTAATGATATGCGGGACAGGATTTTTTCGTGGACTCCAACCTATACAATCTGATGTCTGGTCGTCGCTCGTTTGTAATACCACCAAGGGCCTGACCCCGTAAATCTGTGCATCAAGCGGCTTCTCAGCCCTCTTTTATTAGCTTACTCCTGCATGACTACTAATTTGTCCGAAGATATCATGAAATCAAGCGCTCTAATCAGTTCGCATGTTGTCCAAACATCAAGTACGTGCAGTTTGCGTTTGTGCTTTAGTCTGCGCTTATTACACTACGAGCCTCCCAGGCCCGGAAGCTGTGTTTGCTCTAAGGGCGTGACGAAGTGACTGACACCTGGGAGTGTTCATGTGACTGTCTTCTGCGTCCTTTATTGGTATCTTTTCCTTGTCATTGTTCTACTTTGGTGTTTGTTTGGTGCTTTCTTCGATACTGCACATGAACAGCAAATTTATTTGTTACATTCACCCCTGGCTTCTCAGTATTGTTACGGACCTTTTTTCGTCCACTTTTTGTACCGAGAATAACAACCGAGGTAGTAATCACTTGCGCGTGAATTTGGTATAGTGAGGTGGGACGTCTCATTTTCACCCCACGCTGATGTCAATCGTTTTGCAGTTGAGGCTTAAGTCAAGATAACTGATACCGAGATTGGTTTTTCTGACTGATCGCCCACATGACGCCTTGGAAGGTCTCGACTGAATCCAACTTTGCCAGTTTTATCACCATATCCTTAAGTGTATACTAGCCTCTGTGGACCAAGCTCCAGGGTCCTTCAGTCAAGGAGCCAACTTGTGCACGCAGCAGACCGTAATCGGATTAGATGTCGCGTCTGATCGCCACCTAGGGTCGATAAACACCGAAGAACTTCCAAGTCGCACGTGTCCTGTCGGACGCAATTGTGCTGAATATCTGTCGGTCCTGAATATCGAAATAAGGGCCTGCGCTGGACTTATTTCGCAGTCATTCGTGTTTCTTGAAAAGGATTTTACTCCCAAAGATTACCTTGGTTTGTACCTGTGGATTTGTCAGACAATCTTTTAACATAACGGGCATCTTTTTGAACATGTGCTTTCAGCCCAGATCCAGCGCAGATTACGCGAGGAAGTGAAACGCCTTCAACGTCGAAGATTGCTCCCACGTCATCCTCTCAGTCGTACTCCACAGAACGATGGTGACGCCTTTGGAGATCGACCCAGTTCTCCCGAAGGTATGTTCTTACCATACAGTAGATGTGCTAAGATCGTAAGGAACACTCATATGCAATATGGAAGGATCACAATAGGTGTGCTTACTTGTGAAATGTTGACCGAAATTCTGAAATGCGTCTTCGACTGGGAAATACCACTCGAGTAGAGCTGTAAGATTAATAACCGTACAGCATAATCTCAAGACATTTGAGCTACTTTGGGATGCCGACTTTTGAAGGAACTTCCTTTCGACCACCTGCAAAAATTCTACTCTGCAAAAATGACCACTTATGTAGTATGACTTTTTCTAACTAACTTTTGATGCCTTTATAAGTTCACATATTTTTCATAGAAGGCACGCGCGAAAATACTGATTGTTTTGCTCATTTGGTAGAAAATCACATCTTCAAATGTTATAATTGAACGAAGTGCGTAATTCGGTTTTAGAACACCTTTCCAATTCCCAATAATTTTGGACCCGACCTGCCGTTGCACATTAAAATTTTATACTTTTACTTCACACTTGCATTCAGGGTTTCCAAACTACAAACTGTATATTCGATGTACGGAAATCATGCATTCCTAGACGATATTGAGAGGAGACCATATGGAGTTCATGAAATTTTGTGGTGGATTTGAGCCACATTGTAAACTTTACAAGCAACCTTAGTAAATTCAGAGACAAGATGTTTTATGAACGGACGTGTCATTGTCTTAAAAAGCTCATAATTAGAAACTTTCTTAACACCCTGCCATACCCATTCTTCAAGTATAAAATTTAAAGACGTAATTTTCTACCAGCTAAGTAGAAAGATGAATATTTTTACTCATGTTTTCTATGAAATTTATAAGGGCATCAGGAATTAGTGAGAAGAATGCATACTACATAAGTAGCCATTTTTAGTCTATTTCTTATAGGCTACCGGAATAAAGTTCATTCAAAAACCGGCATCCTGAATTAACTGAATTATCACGGGATAATGCTGCATGATGATTAATATTACGACCCTACTTAAGTAATTTTTTCGAGTTGAAAACGAATTTCAGAATTTCGGTCAACATTTCATGAGTTAGCACATCTAATGTACTTATTGTAGTGCGTACTGAGTGTCCGAGGTTTATCTAGACGAGTTTGCGCATAGAATATTTCTCCCGTGACTTTCAGTTCTCCATGTTGTCTGAAAACTACATTTTTACGCCTATAGCTAACACTTCTGTCGGTCCTCTAATATACGAGTATGCCTGTTGGCATGGCCTCTCAATAGTCACTGTTACGTTGGGTCCTGACTTTGTGCTTGTGACACAGTCTATTATGCAAAAGTTATGATTTTTCAAACCATTCCCTTGTACATAGTATATTAAAGAGCAAGGGCTGCAGTATCTAGATTTTATTGTATCCTTTAAGAATCAGCACCACCAGCCTGCTCCTCCGTCATCACGAGTATGCGCTCAATGGCTATCCGTTCCCCCAAGTCAGACTGCCAAACCGACTCCGAAAATGAGCAAAACCCAGAACCCCCTTCTCCAGTCCGCCTATCCGACCGGCCTGTCCGCGAACTCCAACACACCGAGTGCCCTGCCTCTGAACGGCTGTCTACTTCAGGTAGGTCACGCACTTTCATTGGGCCTAATCGACTTTTCAGATTCCGTACCTCTCTTCACGTTGCCACAAGTTACTGCCCTCTGTGATCGCCTTATCCGAGAAAGGGAAGATCAGCTTCGCGAGGAGTACGATAATATTTTATCGTGCAAATTGGCCGGTAAGTTAGCCTTATGTATATTTTCGACACAGCCTTTGTTGACCTTATTTTTGACTGACCTCCACGGGTGAAGTAATATTTGTTTTCTTCTCATATCACGGTCGAGTCTGTCTTCCTCTTTTGTAGAGCAATACGAGGCCTTACTGAAGTTTAACCAGGACCAGCTCTGCCACCGGTTCCAAAATGCGCCCATGAACTGTAAGCTCCCCCCCCCCCTTCCAAACCTACTTTGTGCTCGGTTATTTTAAGCGGTTCAATTTTGCTCGACAGATGTTATTGTCTTGTTTGGTTTTGACTACAGTGTGTCCATCATGTCTGTTATGTAAATTATCAGTCGACTAAGTTGTGTTTGGGTTGGCCTAGCTAAATCGATCTCCTCTGGCAACAAATGGACAAACTGACCTTGGCACATCTTTCAGCGTTTCGGGTCGATGTCTTGCGCTGATTTTCCGTGTTTTATTTGGGAAACAACGGACACATGTGTTCTTTAACTAAATTAAGATCTGCCATGCGTAGTTTGAGGGGGGATTCGTGTGTTACGTCTGTGCATTAGTACCAAATGAAAAGGCGGGCGTTATGAGCTCTTGCTTTTTATGGAAAGATTGCGTCTGACTTGTACCATTTCACCACGGTATGCCATTGGTCATCTACAAAGCTGAAACAGGGCCACACTATACAATGCGTGGTTTGTGAAGAAAAGTGTGTTTTGAAAAGTGTAGTCAATTGTCCAAATGAGTAGTTTATTAGTAGTATAGTCAGGTAAGAGGCATTGGGAACTGTTTACTAGCCTTAACCGGATAAGCCTTCTGTTTCACGAGAGGGCCGTGCACACACGTCCGCCGTCTGCATATTAATGCACCCGGGCTGTTTTTGAGGAACTTTTGTGTCACAAAAACAGCGACACCGCGAGACGTGGTTCATAGGAGCGGTCAACTATGTTCTTAGACGCATGGACAAAAAACTGCCGCCTAGTCATAGTATTTTCGGGACGCGTTTTCATTTTCACCAGAAACCGCCGCCGTTCCTATGCTATGTGTTTAGGCCTGTTGTTTTTTTCCAGTGTATCAAGTCTTGGCTAGCAAATGTGGACTACTAGCCACTTATCGAGCGAAGTCGATGCAGGCGCATCTGGATGGGCAACATTGAGTTTCGGTGTGGACCAGCTGTCAACTTGTAAGATGTTACCAGTAAGGACACAGGAATCCGAGATGGCCATTTCCGGTATATTTGCTGTAATCGGTAAATCATACGCAGACCCGAGTCTCAAACTAAACAAACCATGTACTCGCGTTCTGTCTGTTGCGGTCGGTGGGGAGCTTTTCACTGATCTATCTTGATAGCAGCACTCATGAATGGAGATTTTGTGTCGGACGATCCACTGCACTCAAGCCCACCCCTAGTCGTCTCAACCACTTTTTTCCATTTACAGCATGAGGGATGTGAAAAGCGAGAAATTAGTGCTAATACTGCGCAAGTTGCCTTTAACATAATCCAGTTAGCGCGCCCACGTCACTACTGCCCCCTGGGATGATGTCTGCAATTGTCGTGTTCGGGAGACAGGCTATTACTTAGTTGTCAGCGTTTCCGCCCTCCAGGCTTGATCTGTTACCCATGTGTTTTTGACCTCACTAATTGTCTCCTGATTCTTTTTAGACGTGTCGTAGTTACCGAAGGATTTTGCCAATGCCTCGCTGCTGTCCCCAAGCCGGAGACTGCACTCCTTCCGTCTAGGATTGTAACGTTGTTGGCGCTCTTTCTTCCACTTTCTACTGCTGGCCAAACACCGCTGCCTGAACGCGGGCGCAATAGGCTTTCATAGCCTCACACTTCACCTGACCGCGTCCTAACAGCCTCCGTACACACACATACACCAGCCCCCTCAGAATTCCAGTTAAGCCCTCCTCGTGACCGCGGAATTTGTTTTTGTTCGCCCTATTAAACAGTTCCATTGGCGCATTTTCTACAACGATCTTGTTATCAACAACATCTTAGGGGCGGTGAGAGGGGGGAGAATGTAAACACATGAACTTGAGTTTACTCATCCTTATTGAAGTGTAGTTCTCAAGACGCAGTCAGAAAGGACAGGAGCACCACCGTTGAGCCGAACGATTCCACCTGCCCTGTAGTGCGTATAACTCGCCCAGTAAGTAGTCGTCGTCTAACGAGTACTTCTAACAGACTCCACTTATTTGTCAGTAAAAGTTTGCTGGCCTCCGTTTTTCCCAACCGGCCTGTAAGATTGCCGATTTCAAGGCAGAAAAGTGCGAAAACCGTTTCCCATAACTTCCTTGCTGCCTTGCTGGTCGTTGGCATGAGATGGGGCGACAAAGGCATGATTTGACTCAGACGGTCACACAAGCTGCGGGACAATATTATGAACCTCAACAGAGACCTCATTCCGTATAGAACTGACAGGGCGCCCTAAGCGAGCAATTCATTTCCCATCTCACCAACGACTCGTGATCAGCTGGTCCCTTAGCGCATGTAACTGGAAATTTGCTTCGCTGTTGTGTCAGGTTCCAGTAGAGAACATGTACTTGACGGAACCGTGATTATGATTGATGTGGTCGGTTTTCATGCTGTCGTGCGTGGGACAATCTGCGCCAACGGATCTATGGCGCTCGACCCATTCTTTCCAGCGACGGAAATGAATACACAAGACCTAAAAGTCATGCCCAGTACTCGGACGGAGTGGGCCGACCCAGGTTTCGAGTTGATCGCACCAACGCCTCCAGGTGGGCAGCGGTGACTGGTCGAAGGTAGAAACGGTGAGCTTACAGGGCCGATGACGAAGAACGTGGGGTGGCCTGATGAGTCGTCACGACTTCGCGGCCAGCGCGGGCTGACTCAGTCGAGATCAGGTCGGTGTACTTTGCCCAATGGGGTGGTTTAACCAGTTTCCGCTCATTCAGGAACGTAGCCCAGCACTCGTAACCGTGTAGGATAACCGACAGGATGAATACCTGTTGCAGGCGGACTTCTGTGGCGACGAAGATATCTCGTCGGGTCCGTAGACATTTTGTAGGAATTGTGGGAGTCCTTCGAACATCAGCGAATCGGGAGTCGATGTCGTTCTAAGCGCGGTTATCCGACGACGACCTCGTCCCGAGGTACTTGGAACCATCTACTTCAAGCTGATCTCCGTTAATCCCGAGTGATTCCCTCTGGACCGCGTATGCAGCTCGGCGGCTGTGATCTGTGTTTATGGATAGACTGATCGACTTAGCAACATCAGACCCGACACTGCAGCTCGTATGTTGTCAAAGCTTGGGGCTGGCAGGGCGATGTCGGCGGAGTCAGATCGATACTGTAAAACTACGTGGGATTTGTGTCGGGCACCAGCGCGTAACCTTTGTAGGAGGCGATGACTGTCATGGGAACTTGCTGAACTAGGCAAGACGAAGGGGGAGGGACTGTCGGAGGAGAGTCGTCACCCGGCCAGGCCCTGGTTTTCGTGTTACAACCTCGGTCCCACGCATTAATTGAGGGCAGCTCTGGAGCAGTTCCAGCTCCGCAGCAGCGCTTCGACGTACCTTTAACATCGACAGTCTTCCGTGACACTGACAACCTGTCAATGATGATCACTTACGCGTGACCAAGTTGTGAAGCTTTGCTTATTTTGTATCACATCTATGAAGTGGTCGGCGTTTCTTGGGGATACTCGCGTGATTTGCACCTGTTTCCTACACGGGTTGAGCTTTTGGTGATTTTTTCCTTCTAGTCTGTTTTTAAACCCATAGATTCTTATGACTCGGCTTGTTACTTAGAATTCACGTGGAGCGTATGCGCACTCGACTCCTGTCCCCAATGCCAACGCGGCAGGGAAGAACACGACCGGCCACGAAAAAGTGTATTAGGAAACTGCAAGTCAAGTTTAACTGGAAAAGTTACGCCTATTTTTAACATCCTACTGGGGTTCGCCTGCATTCGGCCCAATCCACTTCGAGAAGAAAATTCTGCACGAGCTAATCGATTACTCGCATACCACGGATCGATCAAGCTCGGAAGGAGCGGCCAATGACGAGGCGCCACGCCTATGCTGACAGCGTGCTGGAGAAGACGCACGTGGCCTCCGGTTATTGGCTAGCTCTTCTTTTTAAGTGTAGGCACTCCCAGCACGAATATGCCAGCCTGTCATCAAAAAGGGCTCGTTGCGCATTATGTATGATATAGACTACATGGACTGTGAAAAGCCTTTGCGCTACCGTACCTGTGACTTGCTTCACCGAGATAGCCTTTACTGCACTTTTGTTCTCACGCATCATTTGCATGGGAAGACAAACTGGGATCGGTCTCTCTTATCTCTCACGTGTTTCACTTGTACTCCGTTCCCATCGAAACGCATTGACTCGATGAGGACTTATCGAAAGCGCACGGATGCTCACCAACTGGTCTTCTGCATCCTTCCATGGGAGTTTCCATATGCGTTTATTTCGCCCTGTTGCATGAAATCAGCGCTGTGGCTGTAGTTCTAGCCCAGGATAGCACAACCCGTTGTCATCTTCCGTCCGGAACACGGTACGGTACGATAAGCCGACGCTAGGTCGCATGTGCACGTTTATTGGGGGTTCCTGGACTAGGCAAAGTGGTCAGATATACCGAAACTGATGAAGCCAAATCAGTGCGGCAGTCAATAGAAAGAGCAGTTAACGAATTACGGTAGCAATTCCACCTCCCATCTGACAGGATGTATCAGGGGGCAGTCTTTCCTCAGCTGGTCAGGGATTTAAGCTTATCGTGTTTCCTCACCGCCCCTTCTGGGCTGCATTTCTGCCAGATGTGCTTAAGGACCGGCCTCAGGTTATGCATGCTACCTAGTTTCCCCTCTGCCTGATTAAACATGTTTAAGGTATCTTATTGACTACTTACTCCATGACGCTAATCTGGTTGCGCTAACTCGCGTTTACTTTTTTCCCGAGGCATCTTCCGTTGGGGCTGATCACCATGCGCACGTCGTATCTACGGCTCGCATTCTGTCGGTGGTGAAGGCGACGGGGGGCAGGCCTTCTTGAAATGTCCCTAACGCCTTGCCAAACTAGCATTCGCGGCTCATCCTGTGTTGTACGGTCAAGCCGTGCGGTTAATGTTCTAGCCAGCCATAGCTTGGACCTTGTTGGTCCAGACCTCGAACCCGGCCAGCGAGTGGGTTAAGTTGGATGCTCTACCAGCGCGCCGTCAGGTCGGCGCACTGTTGGTTGCGACCGCAGCAATAGGACGCTTAACCGATTGTGCCAGCGTTGCGTGTGCAAGCGGGTCGGCGTCGCATGGACGTTTGTCTTCATTCTGTGTCGGCCACTGAGTCCAATCTCACTACCAATCTGCTGACAGGTTCCGACAATTGACTGGTGCAGGGTGCAGAAAGAGGAAAAGAGCGGGGCTGATGATACTGGGGGAATTCATCTCCACGACGAATCGGTGCATTCCTCACTGACAATAAGTCTGATACACCTGAACCTAGCAGGGCGCGCTGAGGGTCGTGACTTGGAGGGCTCATCGCGGTAGCCACCACAACATTCGGGTCCGGTCTCGCGTAGAAAGAAATTTATTGGACGCCACTTGAGAGGGCACTGTATTCTGTACGGAGAGTTTGGAGAACCGGTTGGAATAAGTTTTTCAGCTGGACAAGAGGACACGTCCGGCACCGCGAGGGCGGCGTCCCGAGTGACAGTTTGAATGCGTCACAGCGCCCTGAAAGAAAGCACACCTGAGTCGGTCTTGAAGATGATTGGATGATTTGGGTAGTCGTGACTGATCGAGAACCAGACTGCCACTGGTGGGGACATGCAAGTACTTGTGAGAGGCGCAGCTTTGCAACGGGAGCCCGAAGTAGGGCCACTACAGGCTGCCCAACTTATGAGATAACTGGGTCCTTCCCAGGCCGAGAGTAAAGCTGGGATGGCTTCTTCTTAATGGGGTCTTTATGACGCCCACGCCTGTACGGTCCGAGTCGCCCTCACCAAAGTCTGAGACGTGTCGCGAGTCGTGTGTGGCACGCGTAGACGGGTTGTCCAGCCTTGTCGGCCACTGCGTCCGCGCCCACCTCTGGTCGACTTGACGTTGTCTTGACGTCGAAGCAATGTGGGTGGGAGAGGAGAGAGCGTGTTAGATGCTGCTCAGGTCTTCGTCACTATAATCGAATTCACGCGCACGTCGACGGGGCTGCGCCCCCTCTGTGGGCACCCAATAGACGCCGTCGCTTATGATTGCTGAACTGCCTTTGTGGTGGCATGAAGTGTGTAACGAGGCAGACTTTCGACGCGTCTGCCTTACTCACTGTTCTCAAGCTCACCGTACGTACTCCAGTGGTATGAAAATGTAAAAACGATGGGGGGATGAGCGTAAGCACAGCGTCTGACACACTAAAACAGCCCCCCCTGCACTCGACACACATGATTTGGCCCCTAGCTGGGCACGCTCCGGGTATCATTCATGTAAGTGAGTTTACCTAAAGGCCTATAAAAAGGGAACTATTGCAGTCTGTCCCACGTCCCGAAGCAGGGTCAAGTTATCTCACCGAAGCATAGTTCCGGGCACGTGCCTTTAGCGGTCAAATTGGGTGACATTCGAAAATACCCCATTTTGGCTTGAATTTTTTCGACTTTGTCCTCCTATTGTTCGGTGAGTTGCTTCTTTGTGCAGTTTCGAGTTCAACCAGTTCGTTTGC